TCCATCCATCCATCCTTCCTTCCCTCCCTCCCTTGCTTCCATCCATCCATCTTTCCTTCCTTCCTTCCTTCCATCCCTCCTTCCCTCCCTCCCTTCCTTCCATCCATCCATCCCTTCCATCCATCCTTCCTTCCTTCCCTCCCTCCCCACTTCCTTCCATCCATCCATCCATCCTTCCTTCCTTCCCTCCCTCCCTTTCTTGCTTCCATCCATCCATCCTTCCTTCCTTCCTTCCTTCCATCCATCCTTCCCTCCCTCCCTCCCTTCCATCCATCCATCCTTCCTTCCTTCCATCCATCCTTCCCTCCCTCCCTTCCATCCATCCATCCATCCTTCCCTCCCCCCTTCCATCTATCCATCCTTCCTTCCTTCCCTCCCTTCCATCCATCCATCCTTCCTTCCTTCCCTCCCTCCCTTCCTTTCTTCCCTTCCTTCCTTCCTTCCTTCCATCCATCCATCCATCCATCCACCCACCCACCCACGGTGGTGCAGTCTTACAATGCAGTATTGCAGACTAATTCTGCCCACTGCCAGGAGTTTGATCCTGACCAGCTCAAGGTTGACTCAGCCTTCCTTCCTTCCAAGGTCAGTAAAATGAGGACCCAGATTGTTGGGGGCAAGAGGCTGACTCTGTAAACCGCTTAGAGAGGGGCTAGAAAACACTGTGAAGTGGCATATAAATCTAAGGGCTACGGCTTTTGCTATTATGACTGAATCAACAAATCGTGGTTTTAGGGTAGGTTTAGTTCCACAAGAATCGGAATTCTGCGTGAGCCGCCTGAGACTCTCCTCACTTCCTCTTGCAAGAAGCGAGATTTCGCAGGGAGACTTGGCGTGCAACCAACCAAGACTGGAAAAACCATAGCCAACGAAGCTGTCAGTTTTCCAGTCTTAAAAAACAAGGCCATTGAAATTGAACAAGGCCAAGCAGAAGCAGAAAGATCTATTTATGGAGCGCTGCCATTTGCTTTACGATTCTCCGGTTCAAGTCGTCAGTAAATAAATAAAAAGCCTGCAACCTGAAGGGAGAGAAGCTCTTCTATAAACATGTCTCCAAAACTCAAGACGTGTATACTTGGGAGATGGAAGCCCAGAGGATTAAAAGCATTAAAAGCAGCACGGCTGACTTAAGACACAACTTTACCCTGAAGAAATTTGCAGAATACAGAAGGACAGAGTTGGAAGGGACCCTGGAAGGTCTTCTAGCCAAACCCCCTGGTCAAGCAGGATACCATATACTATTCTGGACAAATGGTTGTCCAACCTCTTCTTAAAAATCTCCAGCATCCACAAATTTCTGGAGGTGAGCCATTTCACTGATTAAAGGTTCTCATTGTCAGGAAAACCATTTCCTTAATTCTAAGTTGAATCTCTCCTTGGTTAGTTTCCAACCAATGCTTTTCGTCCAGAATAGAATATAGAATATAGAATAAAGAGTTGGAAGGACCAGGGGAGATAGGATAGCAGCCTTCCAATATTTGAGGGGCTGCCATAGAGAGGAGGGAGGGGGTCAAGCTATTTTCCAAAGCCCCCCAAAGGCCAGACTAGGAATAATAATGGATGGAAACTGATCAAGGAGAGATTCAACCTGGAAATAAGGAGGAATTTTCTGATAGTGAGAACAATCACCCAATGGAACAAAAGTTGCCTTCAGAAGTTGTGGGAGCTTCATCCCTGGAAGCTTTCAAGAAGAGACCAGACTGCCATCTGTCAGAAATGATGTAGGGTCTCCTGCTTGGGGGGGTTGGACTAGATGATCTACAAGGTCCCTTCCAACTCTGTTAATCTGTAAATGACCTTGGAGCTCTTCCAATCCAGCCCCTTGCTCCAGCAGAAGACCATTTCAAACCAAAGGTTGTCCAATCTCTTCTTGAAAGCTTCCAGTGACCCACAACTTCTTGAGGCAAGTTGTTCCACTGATTAATCGTCCTCACTGTCAGGAATTTTTCCTTAATTCTAGGTTGGATCTTTCTTCTTGACAGGTTTACGTCCATGACTTGTTGCCTTGCATCTCTGCCTCTGGACAGTCGCTTTCATGCAGCCCGCCTGCAATCCCCCAAAATGATTAAGAATACCGAACCCCGAACCCAGTTTGGGGGTCTCACAAAAGGAAGCAAAGATTTCTCACCCACTGTTTACGAGCATGATTTCTCCTCTTGAAGTATAAAATCAGCTTCTTCCGCATTGCTTGGTTTCTGCAAAAGAGGACGAAAACTACAGCTGGGACCAAGGGAAAGCCACTTTAACTCCACACCCCGAATCTATAGCTGCAATGAAATGACAGCAGTCACTGCAATTTGTTTTATTTTTATTTTTATTTATTTTTATCCCAGGTTTTATTGTTTTAATCTCAAGTCTGTGAGCATACCTACTCCTTCCTCTTCCTATCTTCCTGCAACAACAACCCTGCAAGGTGGGTTGGACTGAGAGGGAGGGATTGGCCCAAGGTTACCCAGCTGGCTTCTATATAGAGATATAGAGATAGATAGAGATAGAGATAGATAGATAGATATAGATAGATATATAGATAGAGATAGAGATAGGTAAGATATAGATATAGTTATAGATTTAGATATAGATAGATATATAGATATATAGAAATAGATAGATATAGATATATAAATATAGATAGACAGATATATAGATATAGATATAGATAGATATAGATAGATAGATAGAGGCAAGATATAGATATAGTTATATAGAAATAGATAGATATATAGATATAGATAGATATAGAAATAGATAGATATATAGATATAGATAGATATAGAAATAGATAGATAGATATAGATAACTACAATGACTTGGGAAAATACCCGAACAAAACTGAATGCCATACATGTAAGTATCCGCAAAAACTTAAGAAAACAGATATATAAATATATATATAGATATAGATATGTAGATATACATATAGATAGATATACAGACATAGATAGATATATAGACATAGATATATATAGATATATAGATAGGTAGAGATATATAGATATAGATATATATAGATATAGATAAGATATATAGATAGATATAGATATATAGATATAGAAATAGATAGATATATATAGATATAGATTTATGGCAGGACTAGAACTCATTGCCTCCTGGTGATTGGCCGAATTTAACCCAGCCGGTTTTCATCCCTAAGGTAGAACTAGAATTCATCTGACTTTTGGGGGAGTCCCTGATAAACTCTGATTAGGCTCACAATACTCTTGGTTGTATTCACGCAACCAGTTTAGCTTGACCACTTCCAATCTTGCAGTTTCATTCACACGATACCCCCAAAACTTTTTTTGTTGTCATTTTAGATAGATAATATTGTTTATGGCCCAACGTAAGGCACGAACATGGCCAATTCAGGAGCTAAGCCAAATGGGATGCCTGCAAACACAATTTTACTATCATTTTCCCTTGGCAGGAAAAGCCACATTTGTTTGTGATAGGGAAAAATAACAAAAAAACCCAACCTGCTACTTGGGCACCCTGGGTTGAAAACATCTGCATTTGTAAAAGCAGGAACATCCCGTTTGCTCTTTTTGAAAGAAAATAAATAAAATAAACCAGCTTCTTGAACGGAGAAGCAGATGCTAATCTGTTCTCAACAGAAAACCCGAGAAGCTGAATTCCACTTTGGCTGGAATAAAAGGACTCAGCTGTAAAAAAAAAGACCAAATTCAATTTCTAAGGTAGCATTCGGCAGGTGGCAGCTACCTTCTTTTCAGCACAAAATAGCCCTTAATAAGAAACACCAGCAGCCAACTTTACAAACAAAGGTAAAAAGCAGAACCGAAAAAAACCTCTCTACTGTACTGAGATGCAGAACAATAATGGAATAAAGTTCCTGCTGAAATTTAAGAGGACAAATTATGGTATTTTCAAAACCTGCTTTGCAGTGGGTAATTTAAAAAAGAGAAAACACTCCAATGAACTCAGAATTAAATCTGATTTTTTACAGATGAAGCCCGTTCCGGTAAAAGCCAACTTCGGTGCTTCTATATCTTATGATGGTATCAAAATACCACCTTCTAAAGCTTAAACCCCTGGAAGGGGGATATTGGGGGCCCTTTCAAACTCTCGACAATGAAGGATAAATTTTAAATTCAGAAAATTGGGAGTCGTGGATCCATTTTCTGGGAAGGGAGGCAACTGGGAAGAAACAAAACTTCTCTGTAGACAAAGAAAGGAAAGGCTGGGTGTGTTTAAGAGGAGCAGAAAACGTCTGGAAAAGTGTTTCCCAATCTTTGCAATTTTAAGATGTGTGCTGGCTGGCTGGGGAATTCTGGGAATTCTGGGAGTCCACCTGTCTTAAAACATGATGGCTAGGGAATTCTGGGAGTCGAAGTCTGCCTGTCTTAAAGCAAGCTGGCTGAGGAATTCTGGGAGTCGAAGTCCGCCTGCCTTAAAACATGATGGCTAGGGAATTCTGGGAGTCGAAGTCTGCCTGCCTTAAAACATGATGGCTAGGGAATTCTGGGAGTCGAA